ATGTTTCAGCCTCTCCACAGAGTTGGGGTTTGGTATTTCTTTACAGCAAGGCTGCTCATTCAAAATTTTTTTGGGGGGTTGCGGGTTTTGAGTGCGTTTGGGGCGATGCTGGAAGCCACACCGACAGCAGCTCAGGAGTGCACAGGAGTGGGGTTTGTTTGGGTTTAGTACACTTAGCCCTTACATATTCAGTAACCTGAATTCTGCTAGCCAAGGAGAAGGGAGGAGGGGGGGGGGGGAGGAAAAAAAAAGATTACTCCATGGCATAAATATGCTGTATGTGCCCTTGTCTCATGCAATTTCTTTACATCGATGTGCAGGAATATTTATCCCCAGTAGAAATGTTTAACTAATCTGGTAAATGTCAAGCCATATGGTGTACATTGTAAGGATTTCATCAGGCCTTTTTAACTCTTTGTGAAAGTCTCTCCCTCTCTTTCCCTCTGCTTCCCCCTTCCTTTTTTTTTTTTTTATTCCTTTTTTCTTTTTACCCATTTTTTTTTCCTTTGTTGCTGCCCTGCCAGAGCCTACGAGGAAGGAGATAATGCAGGGAGCGTTATTAACAACAGTCAGATCAGGGTTGTGATGTTCATGGTTTACAATAACAAGCAGTATTTACCAGAAGTGCAACTCATGAGGCGCCTTTACACTGGGCAAAGAGACAGGCTGAATGTAATTTTTATCAGCAGTGACCTGCAGAAGAAGATCACTAATACTTTTTTTTTTTTTTAAAAACAAACTGTCCACCCCAACAATGCACCAAATTCCCAGGGGCTACCTCATCTCTTATCTCTTCCTTTGAATAATCAAGTCTTTACAACAAATAAACTGCAGTTCCCCAGCACTTTCAAGTAAAGGAAACGTTTCTGTACTGTAACTATCTAGTGTATCTCCCAGAAAGATAGAGTGCAATTTACAATGAGCAATATCAAAAAAGAATAAACCGTTATGTTCGTGCCAATCCTTATTCATGGTTTTATAACAAGACATATCTGTTTTCTTCCTATAAATCTTGACTCTATTTTTAGAGTTTGCAAATAATGACTCCAGTCTTTGGCTGCCTGCCACTTGTGTGAAAAACTAGAATAGCCACAGTGCAAGACTATAATATTTAAAAACAAAAAAGAAAAAAGAAAAAAAAAAAAAAAAAAAAAAAAAAAAAAAAAAAAAAAAAAAAAAAAAAAAAAAAAAAAAAAAAAAAAAAAAAAAAAAAAAAAAAAAAAAAAAAAAAAAAAAAAAAAAAAAAAAAGAGAGAAAACAAAAAGTAAGGGATCTCGTTGAACTCTGTGTAGTCCCTACCAGGGCAGACCAGCTCCAGATAGTGATAAGCGATGCAAATGTGCAGAACGTGTCATAGAAAGCAGGAGCAGGATGAAAATTCGGATGAATTTCCACACCTATTTCTGAATCCTTTTACCTAAAGCAAATTGCTTGTACCTACATGAGCCCTTTGCTGTATCACCAGCAGACACTTGCACCCAGCAAGGCGTGAGCAAGCCTGGACTTCTCTGCTGGGCACTGCTGCCTCCTCCCCTTAAGGGGCCACCAAACTTTCTTTTAGCGTCTGTAGATGGGGACAACCTCTGAGGGAAGGGGATTACAGGGCATTTCTTGCTGTAGTACAGCTCAGGAATGAAAAAAAAAAACCAACAAAAAAAAACACCAGGAGAAACTACCACCTTCAGCCGAGGCCTCCGGACATTTTAGAGCCGTGGAAGGCGAGGGAGGGGGAGCTGCAGGTCAAGGAAAGGATAAGATCTGGGTGGCTGGGAATGGGGAGGGAGAAAGAGGAATGTAGTGAAGGAGGTAGAGAAGGAAAAGCAGGGAAATGACAGCATTCAGATAAATTTAGCTCTGAATCCAAACTTCAGGGGGAGGGGAGGCGTTTCCTGCCCCAAAACCTCTGAACTTTCTGAGATTCTCCCATATCACAAGTGATTTACCTGTAAAGAGAACTGAAAAGGGGGGAAAAAAAGAGGGGAGAAAATTGAAATAAACAGTTCTCTGCTGTTTAAACAATCTTTCCATCCTACTCCCCCAGGGTCAAATGTTCAGGCACAAGGATACAGGCAAAAAAAAAAAAAAAAAAAAAAAAAAAAAAAAAAAAAAAAAAAAAAAAAAAAAAAAAAAAAAAAAAAAAAGAAAAAGGAAGAAAGGAAAATAATTTTTAAAAGAGGATCTTTACACAAATGCATTAAACCTAGTTTTCATAAGTGCAACAACAGTATATCAACTGTTAACACAAAGTGCCTTCCCCACGTACCTGCCAGTTCCCTGACTCCAAAATATTTATTGGTACATTATACTTAACATTTCATCATTATTAAGGACATTATTAAAGCGAGTAATAGCACGACAGCTACCAGTGTAGTTATCTGGGCTTTGTTATGTGCAAGTGGCTTGGCAAAAAAAAATAGAGAGGCAAGGCTAAGTTGTAAACACACCAAAAAAAGGAACAAGATGACAAACATTAATAATTAATCACAAGCACTAGTCTGAGACTTTTACTGTGAAAGCCACGAGATGAATGTATCTATTAGCCATGTAAAACTATTTTATTTTTTTTTTAATTTCTTACACTAATGTGTTTCTAATAACAGCATTATCTGGCAGTATAGACAGCTTATGCCTGAACAGCCCCTCAGCATTCAGGAAGTTGTTGACAAAGACTCCTGCAATAGCCTGTCTGATTTTGTGTTATTTCCTTTAATTGAACCAGTAAGACCTGCACTCTTGCACTCCTGACCTTTGCTCAGAAGGCTAATTTGAGATTAGGGTAGTCTGAAAGTAAGAAATGGGGAGTGTATTTTTTAAAGCACAGAAACATTTCTGTAGTATTAGAAGATGAAGATCAATTTCAGTACGAGGATCCTTTCAGCCCCAAACTACTCTGCTCTTAAAGGGATCTGTGGAAGGACTCTGGTGACACAATATAGTCTCCTAATTTCAGAAAAGTTAAAATCACTCAGCTTTGTCTTTGTGCTGAGTGTTTTAGGGCTTGTAATAAAGATGATGCCCATGACTTTGAGTCCTTGGTGTCTTTACAGTCACCCAGTAGGACATTCAGAATTCCCTTAGGAAAACTTACACAAGAGCATAAAATATGTCATGCCAGATAAATGATTCCTTGTGGTTCTTATATTATTCTGGTCTAGCACTGAAGGTTGCAATACTTAAGCCCTGTGTACTGCCAGGGAAAGAATGACACAGGCTCCTCAGCGGGAGAAGAGAGCCCAAGCGACTCGGGAGAAGGCAGGAGAACAAATATTTTTATTCCAGCTGTGAACATTGTGCCAATATAGCAGAGAGAGTCTGCTGCACAACTCTGTGCCAAAATGCAGAGGAATGACTAAGGCCCAAATGAAAAATGGGACCAAACTGCGGGGGGAGTGTGTGTGTTTTTAATATGTGTGGATTTACTCCGTGTGCTCTCAGGCACAGTGATAAACAAACAGAGAAGCTGACTGAGGGACTGACCATGACCCACCATCCAGCGGCTACTCCTGCTCCTGCCTCTCCAGGTCTGCAGCTGCAGGAGTGCCTTCAGGGTGTGCTGTGCCTTCAGCATCACCAGGCTTCAAGTGAGCCTGCTTTGATTTAAAAGAAAACCTAGGAAAGTTGATAAGGAGTTTTCTCTTTGGGCTTCCCTTTCCCCATGCACTCCATGAGGATCCAGGTTATATTTTCCTCACAGAAGGAGGTGCGGAGATGCGCTTTTCACAGGGAACGAGGGGCAGGAATGAGCTGCTGCCCTGAATCTCTACCCTCTACCATGCAGGGAGGGGACAGGACAAAAAGAAGGAGCTGGAGACCAGTCAGCTGCGCTGCCCTTCTGCAGTGCTGTACACAGAATATTCCTGTGCAGAGCCAGAGTAACACGTTTCCCCCAGCTGCACTGTTCCAAGGGGGCTGATCGTGCTGTCCTATACAAGGACATCCACCAAGTCAGGAGGAACACTTCAAGCAGCGTGTCTGCAGGCAAAAGACCCAACAGTTGCTGCTGTATTGTAGATTTAAAGGCTGTTCCCTCTATTTACACATGTAGATATTGTAATGCTGCTATGCAAACAGTCCTCTGTGGACTTTTGCTTGTGGATTTTATTATAACACATTCCTGACTACGAACGGCACCTTTCCCTCTGCAATATCTGCCGCTGTGCCCTTTGTGTTTTACCTTCTGACTCTCTTCTGGTTTTGTTACTTTTCTTGCTGGCAGGATTTAAAAAGTAGGAAATGAACTTTCCCTTCTCTTCTCCAAGTGATGCTCACGGCATGTGAGCTGCAGTTGCATTGTATTCCCTGAACTTTGCAGCCACTGGAAACACGAACAGTATGTCAACTTGTTCCTGTCTCTGCCAGAGAATTCAAGGTCAAGCTGACCAGTGAACTCTCGTATTTAAACAGGGTAAGTCAGTGCTCATCCACAGCACCGAAGCTGCCTCTAGGAAAGACGTTAACCCTGTGCTGGGCCTCCAGACAGCGCAGCCCGTGTCACGGCTCTTAAAGCAGTTTGCTGCTGCTGTCAATAAGAGCTGGACATACTGCACATGTCTACCGGGCCTAAACAAGTGTCCCTTCTTTGGATGTGCACGGGAGGCCCTCAAGGGGTTAATACATGCCATTCCTGAGTTCAGTGAGGGGACAGGGAGAGCCGAACAGCGGGAATTTCAGGATGTTAATAGCCTCTTCTCTTCCGATTGGCCCAGAACGAATGCAGGGTACAGTAAATTGTCCTTGTCAGCTTAGCTCACATGATGATATGCTTTATTTCTAGACATGCCTTGAATCTGTCCCTTGAATTTATGTTCAGAAAATAAACACTTCCAGACGGCAATAAAGCATTCAGTTGTAGCTGGCTGTTGCACAGTCTCAAGCCAACCAAAGCCTTTTACTTTAGAGTTTCTAGAGCTCGCAAAGCTTTGGCTCCTTCAGCTCCTGCTCACGTTAGGAAGTGTCCCCCCTCACCCAACCCTTGGATTTGAAAGGATGTCCTGACTTACTTAGGAAAGCTCCAGAGAGTTTTGCTTGGTTTCCACGGGGGCACCATCCTGAAGGATGACATCAGGCCGCACCTCGAACACACAGGCAGATCCTTCTGTCTTTTACAGCAACACTGAGAGAAAAGAAAAAAATTAATGTCAGCATGGTGCAAAATAAAGATACTGATGATTCGGGATATGAATTTTCTACCATAAAAAAAAAAAAAAAAAAAGGTAGATTAAACAGCTGTTCCATTTGTGCCTGGTGTGGCTAAGGAAACAATCGGTGGCTGGGTGATTTACCGATTAGTAAGGTTGCATGCAACAATCTCCAGGTGTTTCTGAGAAACACCCAAATAGAGCTGCAGTGTTTGTTTGCAGCCAGTAATTTTATGGCAATCCTCTCCCTCCTCAGTTCCCCTCAGTAACACCAGTTTATAACTGCGCAGCTACAGTATAGGGGAGTTTGGCAAAAATCAATGGTAAATGCGCATAGGAGACAACAAAAGAGCAATACAAATAGAAAAGGCCTCGTTACAGCTTTAGTTTATTAGAGGTGTGTGGATATCAAAACGCTTTCTTCAACCCAAAGGCACTAGAAGAAGAAATACTAAGTTATACCCACATTTAGGGCTGGGCAGCCAGCACTCCAGTGTTAGACATGAAACAAGCTGCAAGAGCCCCATGCATAGGTGGGTTTCATTTTCCTCCTGTTTGACACAACACAAAATTTCTGCTCGGGTCCCTCCCTGATGAAAAAAGTGCCCACAGAGGAACCCACACGGGGCCAGAAGCAGCTCTGAATGTGCCTGATAGTGAAATCATTTGATAAGAAGGTCGGAGGACAGCAGAGGTACTGTTCTGTTCCAGATTATAAACTCATTAGGAGATAAGGATGCCAAAATAGGAATACTCCAGGTATCAGGTGGAGCTGGAGCAAATTCCCACAGACTGCTTACTGGTGAAAAAACTGCCTGCTACAGTGCCAGGCTGGCTTAAAAAGGGGGAGACCGCAGAGGTGGTGGATCTCCCACCCACAAGTGGGGAACTGGGTCTGGGTGGGGAGATGGCCAAGGGATCTAACACGGAGATCAGGCTGGTGGTGGGGGACATTCAGTGGGCCAGTTTCCAGCAAGACACACACCAGGAATCACCTGAACAGGAGGAAAATTCTTGCTGAACCATTTCTTTCCTTTCCCCACCCCAACCAGCACCAGATCCCTCCCATGCAGCAGGGGTGCAGAAAACCTCCGTGTGGCTGGCTCAGCAAGGGTGTTCAAAAAAGCTTTTACAATTTCACAGGAAGCCAAAGGGCAATTACACTTAACACCCATCCCCTTTCCTTCTCTCTGGCTATCTTGCTTTCTTCTGTTTCTCATTGGCTCTCATTCCTATCCCTTCCTTTTCCTTTTCTCTTCCCTTGATGCCATTCAGGGACTCCAAAGGACTAATTCAGCACAGCACTGGCAGAGATAAGTTAAAACAATGAGGAGATTTGCAATTAGGGAGAGTTTTAAGGATTGGGAATTGTGCATGTTTTACAGTCATCTCCTGGTGATGGGGACTTTATCTTAGGTAGGTAGAGCTCCTTCCTTAGCTGCCACAGCCCCACCCTCCTGCACCAAGTAAAATTCCACATTTTAACTAAGTTGCTGCTGTATTTCAAACCTATCCCACTGGGGAAAAATAAATAATAAAAAAAAAAAAGTCAAAAATGTACGACGTACTTTGGCCAGGGCTGATTATCAATGTTGTACATGCCTTTAAAATCCTTTGTTAATGAGGTATCCTTATTACCATAATCAAACACGCTTAGAAACTTGTCACAGATAAGCAAAATTCTTTACATTCTTCGCTCTGCACTTTCTTTTGGCGTCTCTTCCCCCTCCCCCTCGGTGACTGCTGAGCTTCTGAAGGTTAGGGACCGGTAGTGCTGGAAATTGAAGCCCTCTGTTTACCCACACAAGCGAAGGAACAGTCAAAGCTTCCTTAACTCTGCTGCAGAAATGACCTGAACAGTGACCTGAGGAGACCACCCTCCTGAGAGAGGAGAGGTCACCCAGCCTCCACGCAGGATCTGCTCAGGGCATCCTCTGCAGAGAGCGCGAGGCAGAGATTGCAAATCACCCAAACTGTGCCAAATTATGTGTGAAGGTTTTGTAATGCAGACTACCGTCCACCAGGGATTAAATTAGGAACATCAAACCCAACACAGAAAGAATTTCATTTTATCCTTAAAATTCGACTTGCAGTGTTTTATTTAATGCTTCTTATCAACCCTCGTGACCCAAAACATCTCGCCACCAGAAAATACTTAAATAAATTGGGCAATTTGTGCAGAGGGCCATACAAATTTAGCATGAAAGACTCCTGCTTTTAATTTGTTCATACAGAACATGGACTCCCGACAGCCACTCGGGCAGCCATTCCCAGCCATTCCAGAAACCACCTCTTCTCCCTGTGTTTACAGAGTACCTGTCTAAATAGCACAAAAACTTGATTTAAATGTGAGTGCTCTGACATGAATCAAGTGATTGATAATTAGAGCAAAGTTAGAAATATACTCAGCTCAGGCAGGGGAGTTTGCACATCACTACATGTCAGCATCCAACTGTTTTTATTCCGAGACTGGACCATTTCATGTGGAATTAAAAGCCACAACAGCATTTTTCATAAATCTGACTTCTTGTTACATAAATAGACATCTTATTACTTGGGTTTGTTTGTTTGTTTTAACCTATGAAAAAAGGTTCTGCTTTACTGTAGCCTTTAACTTTTTTTTTTTTGCTCATTTTTAGATTTGAGAATCTTTCTGAGAAATTACTTTTATAAAGAGACAACCTGCAAGGGTAGGAAAAAAAAACAAACACAAACCTCTAAAATCTCTCACAGAAGAGTACGAGAGGCACATTTTTAAGAACTCTTTGATTACTTCATCAGGGCTATGATAATATATCAACCACATTCTTAGGGCTCAGTTAACCCTTAGGCAACTGGGAAGGATAGTTAGCAGCTCTGCAGGGAGCACACTTAGTCAGAAACAGTATTTATCGCCTTTTTTCAAGTGTGGCAACAGAGGCCAAGGTTTGTAGGATTGTGTCCTCATGCTGTCTGGCTGATTTTCAGACCTGAAGCTCCCTAAGACCTTTTGCTTTGGTACTGTTACCAAGAGCTATTCGACTGCTTTTTGACCTGCTGTGGAAGGAAAGGGAGAGTTTCTTCCCCTGGGCACCACAATTAAGACCATGAGAGATTTGTGGATTCCCAACAGCCCATTTCCAACATCAGCTTTCTCTGAAACTATCCTTTTTCAACCCGAGAACAGCAGATAAATACTGAATATATCTTAATGTCACTCATGAGTGTACTGCATTACCACTATATTATAGGTGGGAAACTGAGGCATGAGAACTGAATTTAGTTTATGGCCAAACAAAGAACCTGAAGTAGTCCAGTTATGAGTCCTGAGGACCCCTCCAGCTCCTTTACTGCAAAACCACACTGACTTCCCTGCAGTTCTTTCCTCTGTGGGAAGAAACAAACCCAAAAACCCCCACAGGAATAAAACAAAACAAAATTTTTGGCTGCTAGATAGGACAACACAAAGTAAAGAGCTGAGGAAAATTCAAGGCTTCTGAATACATGAAAATTCGATAACTAAACTTAACAGAATCAATGTTTGCAATCACAGCCTGCCTGTGTAAAATAAGTAGAACATATTAGGAAACAGGATATTGACAATGTGTTTGTAAATATATATAGATATATAAAACAATAACACTCCAATTCTCCAATCAGCAGGACTCAGTTAAACTCATTCACCAAATACGAGTTCTCATGAGCACTTTGGTGGCTGAATATCAGTAAAAGTGGGAAAAAAGCCACTGAAAACTTACATCTTACTTTGGAAAGTGAAACAACAACTCCTAAAATACGCTGTTATGTCATTAAAACTCCCGATACTCCCGTCATCCTCTGTATTGATCGATTATGACTGCTCGTGGCCTTGTGAGGCAGTACAAAATCCTATCATTTCAGATGGCAGGGGACCCAATCCTGTCCTGGAGCTCTCATCCCAAGCGTGGTTTGAGACAGCCCGAGCAGCCAAAACACTCATGAAAGGCTGCGTGGATTGGGGCTTATAATCCGACCAAGTACTTGGCTGCAATAGTGCCTATTAAAAAGTCAGCGTTTGCCAAGAGTTACCACACAATTACAGGGAGGGCTGTAGCATCTCCAGAATTACAGGGATGACTGTAGTATCTCCGACAAGCCAGTGTGGGAACTGCAGGTTAATGGTATCTCTTAATGGTGATGGCTGTAATGTAGGTTAATGGGATCATAATTTCCTTTCCCTGGGAGAATTTGTGAATTCTTCCATTCATCGCCATTATTTTTAGTAGCAAATGAAGGATTTGATTCAGACCCGGAGATGTTTGCACCAGGAGGTTTGTTCTTAGTGAAGAGTGGGGATTTCAGACTAGCTGAAACCAAACCCAGCCCGATGCCCCTGAGGGGTGGTGAGGAAGGCCCCCTGCACACACACTGACACTGCTTTATCCCAGCATGTTCGGTGCTGCCCACATTTCGGAGAGTCCATCTCTTGGGCTCATCCCACAGTGTGCCCCAACTGTAGTCCTGGTGGAGAACACTGTGACACAGCCCAAATTCTTTATGCCCTAAAATCCAGCATGCAGGACATCGGGGTGGGGGATGTATTTAAAGCACTTTTTGGCTCACGGTTGAAGTTTACCAGTGATCTGAAGGCAGATCTTCCCAACCACGTCCCTGTCCCTGCTTTTTCCTGCACTGCCCGCTCCGTCCTGCCCTTCAAGCCCTGCTGGTGGAGATGCTGGAGGGCACGGGCTGTTTGTCCACACAAACCCCAAACTTTGCTGAGTTATCAGAACGAGGCACGCCTGGCTGTCAGCTTCTCAGCCAGAGGAGGGGGGGGAAAACAACAGAAGAGCACACGGCTCCCCTCTCATTTCTGATGCGCCACCAAGGCCCCAGCTGGAAGGGGAGGGGGGGTTGATGGTTTTGCAGTGGTGAGGCATCACCCCCTCCTAGTGCAGCCCCCAGGGCTGCTTTCCAGGCGGGTTTGCTGGGCGCTGGCGAGCGTCACACAGCTGGC